ACATGGCAGAGACAGGCACTGCCACCACAGCACCCATGTTGCCATCCTTAATTAATAATTAACCAACCCCTTCGGCTTTGCAGAAGCAGGAAACCTCAGCTCGTGCAAGGCTCCAAAAAAAACTAGCTCGTAAACTACCAACGCCGTGGGGGTGTGCAGGGAAACGCGCAAACTACAATAACACCATCAGGCTTTCGAAAATGACCTGTGAACTAATGCATCACCACCAGGCTCCGCAGACCGGCTTGTAAACTAATACAACATCATCAAGGCTTTGTAAAATGACTCATAAACTACCGTACCACCACCGGGCTTTGCAAAATGACTTGTGAACTGACGCAACGCCAGCAGGCTTTGCAAGGCGTGCGTAAACTACCATAAACTCCCGCAGCAACGCCGGGCTGTACAAAATGACTCGTAAACGACTACAGCACCGCCAGGCTTTGCAGAGCGGCGCCGCGGCAAGGCTGAGCCAAGTGCAGGGGAAGAGAATAATGCCGGAAATGAGGGATTTTGCAAAGCGCGGTCGATTTCAGGAGGAGGAAGCCCCGCATCCCTCCGCGCGCCCAGCCACCTACCTACCATCCCATCCCTCCCTGCACACCCGGGACCCCCCCGCCGCAGCACTTACAGGGGCACCGCACGGCCCCGCCGGCTCCTTGCCCGCCGAGCCAAGCGGAGACGGGTCAAGCCGGGCCGGACTGCCCCGCTCCGCCCCGCCGGGGGTGGGGTAACCCCGGCACGGCCCCGCGGGCGGTGCTGCGCGGCGCGGTGAGGCGAGGACGGGAGGTGGGCGCGGTGCAGCCCGGCGGTACCCGGGCGCAATTGCACCTAACTCTCCCCTTAAGTTTTTTTTTGTCCACTCTCAATTTTTCCGCATGTTTTAAAACAATCTGTTACTCTATTTCACTTCTTGCAGGTGCACGGCAAGCAGCACTGCCCCCCCCCCCCCCCCCCCCGGTTTAAATTAGAAACGCTCTGTCAAAATCAGTGTTAATCACTGCCTAGCTTATGGCGTAGCAATAGGAACATTCGTCAGGGCTTGTTTTTTTGGTGGAAGTCACCAAAGCACGAGTGCATCATCCCCTCCTGAGGATGTGAGGGTGGGGAATGGGGAATTCTTCTGTAGAACGGGGTGCTGCTTACCAGAGCCAGGACACTTTACTCGCTTCACTTCCTGCAACGGCCCATTAGGATGAATTTCACTGTAGAGCCCTCAACTTCCTCCGAATGACACTTGAACACTCACCTTCAGGGCATGATGGAACTGTGAAGGAAAACTTCATTAGCTTTTTTCCTCTCCCCCACCCTTCATTCCTGTATTCCTTCACCAAAGATGGGTTTGGCTCCTTGGGAGGTGGGCAGCTACATAGGAAAATTATAAACTGGTGGGACCCCGGCTTTTCTGCAACCCCATTACAACCAGATGTGCTTCCACAATTTGTTTGCACTTGTGTTGGCAATTAGTGGAGTTTTATATCTTAGGTTTCATGTTGCTGTTTACCTTTAGCCCGTCTGCTGTATCTAAATGCTTTTTCCTCCATTGCACACATATCCAGCTTCTCTTCACCAAAGCTAAATAGTCCCTGTTTTTTGCAGAAGACCCCAAGATGGTCTAGTCTGTGTTTTTTTTTCCATGTACAACTGCCTATGGGACGAATGCAGAACAACCCAGATACCTCAACTCCCAGCAGCAGCAGTGCACACAAAGCTGGCCACCGCCTGGGAGCCAGGGCCAGCCACCACCCATCTCCAGCCTCGCTGAGCCTTCAAGGAGAACATACCGGACAGCCCTGAACACGCAGATGTCAAAATAGCCCCAGACATATGCATGCTCTATTTATTTAGTTGTTTTGTGAGCAAAACAAGCAGAAGCACATGACCAACCCACTGGCGATGTGCTGAAATGGAAAGGCATGAGGGGAGCACATGGCTTTCCCTCCAGAGGTTTCTGCTTGGGATTTTCATCTGCATTGACATGCTAGTCTGGGAAAGCACCTGAGGAGATGGCACAGCCTATCCGAGTCAGTAACCCATCAGCTCAGAGAGATTCACCTGATATTTCTGACCTGCTGCTGTCTATCATGTCAAAAAACCCACTGCTGGAGAACACTCAGATCATATCAACACAAGCGACCGTGACAGCTGAGTAGGGGAAACAAAGACGGTTCACATTTAACTGAAGCCATGAGAAACCCCCTGAGTCAGTACTACTTGAGAGACCCTCTGCAACACAGACCTCCACATGCACTTGGTGCAGATTTTAGGGACACTCCTGTGCTCAAAGTGGGGTTTGGACTGTTTCCCCTCCACCCCAACCCCTCCCACAGGTTCTGTGCTGGCCTGGAGTCATGGCAAGCTGTGAAGGAGCAGGGAAGGTTTCATGATTATCCTAAAGGACTACCAGGTATCCCATAGCACTGCTTGCCCTCCCCATGCTGGAGGTGTAATGGAGCAGGGGGCATGTGAATAATGGTTAAGAGATTGGAATTTGTAAAGTGGGACTTATAGAGGAGGTCCTCCCACTCCTCGGTACAGCTTGACACTTCTACAGAGCAGCTTGTGGTGTAGGTGAACTTTAAAATCCAGTGGGGCTGGCCTAAAGGAAATTTCCTGAACATGCAATAGAAAACTCAAGAGACCCTTGTGTGGGCTGCTCCAGTGCTCCCAGGCATCCAGCAGAATGAATCTGTCAGCACTTAGTGATGGCATGGCAGTCACTTACAAACCTGTCGTGGGGACTGAATTCAGTATGTCAACTGCAGAGAAGACTAGGGCCAGCTTAATTTTATGCTGAATTTGAAAGCTGTGTATTTCAGTAGGAGATGAAATCAGGCACCAGTTGGTCAAAGCTACCCGCAGATTGGGCCTTTGGAAAGATGGGTGCAAAAGGTGCCCAGTGAAAGCAACTTGTAAGATGGAGGTTAAATGAACTAAGATGTAAACAGAAGAAAAGGTTATTACTTCTGAGAAAGTGTCTGCCTCAGCATTGTATTTAGAGCTGGAAAGCCCAGCTGGGAGGGTTTTGCATCTTTGCATGGCTCTGGTACAATTGCTGCTGTGACGGGGCAGCAATTTCCTCCCCATTTCTTTCACTGGTTGCAGAATACCCACACCTACCTGGAATAGGAAAAAAACATTGTCATCTCCTGGTGGGCCCAGGCAGAGTGGATAGCGGCAGCAAGACCTCACCTCTCCCTGCAAACCCTTCTGGCTTTGCTTCCTCTGGCAGAGTCAGTGTGATGGAACTAAGGCAGGGAAGCAGCATGGCAGAGGTGGTCCCAAAGGAGGGGATGGGGCAAGGCAAGGAGGCAGAGGAGCAAGGCACAGTTTGTAGGACAGGATGCCCAAGTTACAGACTGCAGCTCCATACTCCGTTTCCCCCTCTCAAACTAGGCACCCTGGTCCTAGTTCTTCCTGGAAGGGGCATTGCTTTCTGCAGGATATCCCACAAGGAAGAGAATGAACTGCTTGAGATGGTGCTTTAGCCCATAAGATATGGTTGTAGCACTAGTCCCTGCCTTGTGATCACCCATGCGAGTCCAAAACAAACCATAAATCAATTGCTACAGCTTACCTCCATTAGGGACTCTGACAGCAACATCCTCTGCTGTTGGCACTGGCACGCCTGCAGCATCCGACCCAAAAACAGGTTGAAGGGATGCTCATGGAGATCCCTATGCTGCAGCTGCTGCTCAAGCTGAATCCAAATTCCTGGAGATGCCAAACCCAGCAGGAACTCATGAGTGATGAACACGGAGAAGTGAACAGATTGGGTTTTGTGGGTTTTGTTTTTTTTTATTAGACTAGGAAATATAATTTATTGCATAAAAATTAATTTGTTACAATAGGAATGCTAAACTTTATTTACAGTTCTTTAGTTTACAGAATAAACAGATGCAGTTTTAGAGGATGCCACTAGGCCCATCCCCTGGACATATAAATATGGAAACAGATTGCGGAGCAAGAGACGGACACTGCCAGCATGACACAGATCATGGGATTGCCTTTGCCAAAATGCCTGGGCAGACAAACCCTCAGTCATGGAGGGAGGCATGGAGGGCACCTGGGAGCTGGCTCCCATGGGAGCTGGGCAGCAGGCACTCAGAGGACCAGGGTGAGGAGCAAACCCTGCCTCCCCCTGTTCTGCTTCTAGTGCAGGTTCCCTGGTATGAAAAATGGGGAGAACCTCCCCAAACACACATGTTGGTGAATCCAGGAGGCTGCTGCCTGCCAGAAGAAGGGGAAGACGAACACAGACAGATGGGGATGGAGGCAGAGGCACCCACGGATGGGACGGATGGATGGACGGATGGATGGATGCCAGCGCAGTGATCCATGAACCAGAGACAGTGGGAATGAAAGCGAGAGAGATTCAGACACAACCCGAAAGAAGAGCATCTCATCTCACAGAGAGCACCCCAGCACTGAGAAAGGAGCCCTATAAAATGCCAGCAGCTGGTTTGATCCATCAGTTCTTCACTTCTTTCCAAATTTGCTTACTCCGCCTCAGCTTAGACATGGGGTGTCAGAAATCAGATGGTCAAATGCAACCTAAAGGAAGGACAAAACCCTTCCCACGTGACACAGGAGCGCACCCAGCAGAAGCCTTTCCATCTAGCACAGAGGAAAGAGATCCCCTCTCTCCCACAACCTTGAAAACCCAGAAAGAAAGGAATCCCAGAGACCCCAAAGTACAATAGGGCACTACACATCTGATCACTGCTTCAAAAGCTGCTGAGAGGAATCATCCTTGTGCCTAAGCAATACTGAAAACTGCTCCCAAGCCACCCTTCAAAGGTGATGCTCTCAGTCACGGCATGGCTCCCCAAGTCCTGAGTTTGCTCCAGTCCTCAGGGTGCTGCAGGATGCTGCATGCACCCTGTAACACCATAGCTCGGCTTTGCAGCCAGGACACGGCTCATCACAGCCCAAAGCAGGACCTGCTCTCAGACCCTGCTCTTAATACTTCCACTGATGGAGATTCCACAGCCTTGCCATGTGATCTAGTCTAATCCTTTTATTCATTTATTTATTTTTAAATGGACATTTCTAAGATATAGCACTCGCTGAGTAACTATTTCTATCTGCAAGCAATCTAAATTTTTACCTTCATTGAAACACCATATCTTTGCAAGACACCTTGTTCCTGCCTACCCCTTGATGACTTTCTATTCATCCCACAACTTCTCCATCATTATAAAAGGTCTATTACAAGGGAAAAAGGAGCTGCAATGAAGGATGGAAACCCTATCACTGCTTATGATGCTGTCCCTCGCATGAAAATGCTCAGCCTGGCTTGCAACTTGGAGATGCCAAGGTCTCCCTCCCTGAATCCCTGCTGAAATACTGCATCAAAAAACAGGCGTGAGCACATGGACCCAAAACCGACACAGTTTGCATGGGGCTGCATCCTGGCCTGCCAACCCTCTGCTCTCCCTGGACCCCTGGCACAACCTGCTCATCACCTCCTTCTGACCACCAAGCCCAGATTCGGGGTTCTCACTACAAAAACCCTGGTGGGTTTAAAACATTTGGCCTTTGGCCTGTGGGTTGGTGCAGGACTGAAATCTTTGGTTTGTACTGAAGTTATGTAAATGAAGGTGTAGTCATCCTAAAAAGCTCCCCCAAACGATGCCAGAGAAGAATTCATTAAAAACACCCATATCCAGATGCACTTTCCCCCTGAACCCTAAATGCAGGGCAGAACCCCTCACTCATCCTTGCAGGCAGAGACGACCCCTTGCTCCAGGCACTGCTGCTGGGGAAAGGGGAGTTTGCAAGGAAAAAGTCTTGGGGAGGGTCTCAGCTGGCCCTGAACCAGAGGGGCGTAGAGGCACTTTACCCTACGGACTCCCCAGGGGTCCCAGGACATGTAAACATGTGTTGCTCCATGATTTTCCCTAGAAAAGTGTGTTCATTTAAATCTCTTTGCCACCCCAACCATGGCAACGCTCTTGCTCTCACACACACACAAAAAAAGATTTATAAATCTGTCTTTTTTTTTTTAAATTTTTTCTTTTTTTTTTAAAAAGGACTCATCCAAAGATCTGGATAATAAATTATTTGCGTTTCCTAAGAAACTTTTTTTTTCCTTTTTTTCTTTCTTGTTTGCCTGTTAAGCTGTCTGAAGCTTTTGCCAGAAGCAAGCCATTAGACTAGATTGTACTCATCCCTTCAATGCAGAAATGCTATTAAAGGAGGAGTAGGGTAACCCAAACAAAGAAGGAGAAGGAAAGCCCCCATCCCAACTCGAGAAGCCCTAATTCCTCCCCATGCCATGAGGAGAAGGAGGAAGAGGAGGAAGAGGAATGCTGCGTAATACTTGAATTCCTTCGCTGAGGATGGGTCTCTAAGGCTGACAGTGATGCGGGGAGGGAGGGAGAAGCGACGGCCTCGGCCCTTCCTCACTCAGCTGCTGCCTGGGGATGGATGTGCCTCCCCCCGCTGTCAGGGAAGGGTCCCCCCCTCACCCCCTGTTTCATCCTTCTGGCCCGCCAGCCATGGGGAGCATCATCAGCAGTCTCCCTCTGTGGCCATGACCACCAGCATCTCACTCTTGCCCATCTCTTCTAAGGCACTGGCCAGGGTGTTGAGATCACCATCATCTTGGTGCTTGGCTTCCCATAAGTCCAGGAGCACCCCGGTGGGGCTGGCTTTGGTGGCAAAGTAGTTCAGATACCTGCAAAGGGGAAGCAGAGAGAAAGTCCAGGTTGGTGCAGTGCCCTTCAGGGATGAAAGGAAGGAACACGCTGGGGCAGCAAACCTGTTTGCAAGATGAATGCTGACGGAAATGGCATAACGCAAATGCCAAAGCCCTTGAGAAACTGTCTTCAATTTTTACACAGAGCTGGCATTCATGCAAAAGCAATGTAACCTTTGTTTTTCTGAAATTACCCTCCCTTCCTTCGGTCCTTGGAGTTGAACCCAGACAGGAACAGCACAAGGATGGTCCCAGATAAATTACACAAGAAACCCATGACAGTGGCACAGATTGATGCACGGATATAGATGGATATAACTATGTACATTATATCTGTATTTATGGGCAGACCTATATAGCTGGACATAACCTAGCTGGATGCCTTCAGCAGGGAGGGAGGGCAGGGTGAAGCGCCTCTGCCTAGGGTACAGGAGGGGAAAGCAAAGCATGCAGAGACCCACCTGCCCATGGAGAGCTTCTGGGCGAGAAGTCTCCAGTCATTTCCTCTGGAGTTGGGAGCATCCAGGCTGTTGCAGATCTTCTGCCGGATGGAGAGGGGGATCTTGAAAGCATAGGGTCCCAGCTGGGTGGTGGTGGTGTTGGTACCACTGTGGTGGGAACGGAGAGTGTCGAAGGAGCTGGCATGCTGCAAGGCAAAGAACAGGGTGAAGCGCCTCCTGAGCATGACCCTGTGCTGTCCCCCCACCTCCCCACCACTCACCTCTCCCAGCATGATGTGGAGCTGGAAGATCTGCCCTTCCCCTTCCACCTGCCGGACGCAGATCTTGCAGGTGAGCTCAGTGGAGGCCTGGCTGTACCTCTCCAGGGTGAAGGTGCAATGCAGGGCTCGCTGGCTGCCACTCCAGATGTGATAGAAAGGGATTTCCTGAGGACCACCAAAGCAGAAGCTCAGTGAAGGCTCCAGGAGATCCCCTGGGAGATCCCACTCCCTCCAGCCACCCCACACAGATAAGATGGGACAGAGGGACCCTACAGACAGCATCCCACCAGAAAAGACCTGACAACCAGTCCCACTTCCTCCATCCCTGTGGGAGACAACTTTGGAGACAAGACCAGGGCATTCACAACCCCACAGAGCCTGGCTGAGGATGGTGTCCCCAGTCTGGGACCCCAGCTGGCCTTGCCTCTGCCCCTTACCTGGTACTTGGCCAGCAGCTTGCTCCTCCATAGTGCATGGGGGATGTCATGGATGGAGAGACGCAAGTTGTGGTAGCTGTCCTTGAAGGGCAGGGGCTTGGGCTCCTCCAGCAGGTACCCACCCAGTGTGCGCTCCAGCTCCAGCACCTCCTGGAGACAGTATGACAGGCAGAGTGAGACCATATGAAAAGTAGGGGCTGCTCCTCTTCTCCCTCCATACCCAAAGCTACGTATGTTCCTGACAAGAGGAGCCAGCAGCAGCAACAAGCCCAGACAGGAAAGCAGCCTTTGCCACCCGGACAGCTGCTCTCCAAGAACTTGCCAACTCATCTCACGTGCCAGCACCACCTACAACTTGAAGTTTATAATGTGAGAATCAGTATATGCCTCTGTACTCCTCAGACAATGCAAAGGTCCAACGCAAAGGTCAGGCACTCTTTTCAAGAGTGCCATCCTATTTGTTTTTAACACCATCCCACTATTATACCATCAGCTCTTAGGAGAAAAATTCAATCCAGGAGCCAAAGTGTTGCCTGCATCTCCACCTAGAGGCACTAAAGCAATCCTGACACCACAGAACAAGTCACAGGGAATTAAACAGCCACTGCACCAGCGTCCATATAACTTAAGGATCAAAATTCAAGCTTCCCATTTTGCACTCGATGTTACCTATGTCACAAATACCTCCCAACTAGGAGAGAGACATGTCTCCATGCAGGAATAACAGGATCTATAGAAAAATGATGCAAACCACAGCAGCATTTCAGGTGCGTGGGAAAGCTCACCCAGCAGCAGCAAAACCTCTCATGTAATCTCTGCAGCAAGGGAGCCCTGTATAGGAGCTAAGCAGCACCCTCATTATTTCCTTCGGAGAGGGTGAGGAAGGACAGGGAAAACAGTAAACATGCTTATTACTTCACTGTGGTCACTTTGCAGGCAGTTGCATCAGGTTGTCTGCTCCCTGGGGCCAGTCCATCCTGAGAGGCACCAGGCAGCATCTTGCCACCAGCACAAACAGCTTTGGGAAGCAGGGGCAGCCTGCACCAGCATCACAAGGTAAGCTTACCTTCAGAGCATCTGGCGTGTCCTCTAAGCAGTAGACCTTGAGGCTGTACTCCAGGGAGGTGCAAACAGTGGGGGCAAAGATCGCCAGCTGGAGCCTCTTGATGGCTGACCTGGAGTAGGACTCTCCAACGAAGACATAGGTGCCGAGCTGGTCTAGCAAAATGTGGCAAGACTTGGCTTCCAGCTGGCAGTAGCAGGGAGTATTGAGGGTCTCTTCATCCAAGGTCACAACTTCCTGCAGGGAAAAATGGGAAACCAAAGATGGGGATCAGCACAACATGCTGGGGGTTGTGTCCTGCAATGCTCATGGTCATTACTGACTACAGGGGCTGCCTTCCCACCTTACCTCCCAGTTTCCCTGGTTGGACTGCGTTTTCAGCTGGTAAATCCAATCTGAGGAGCCAACATCGGCACAGTGGGGAATGGTGAGGACAACAGGGTGACACAGGAGCAAGCCAGTAGGTCCGCAGGTCACTGCTGGGCTCAGTACTGTCTGAGTGCCTTCGGAGGGCAGGCTGGGGAGGGGAAAGGGGATACTGGTTGGAAAGAAAGCCTCACAGCAACCAACAAAAGGCAGAAACATGGGCGGCAAGTTGTGACTTACAGGGCACTCTCTGCCTTGTTGAGGACCAGGTACATCTCGTAGAACTTCCCCTGGGGGATGGCACCATGGGGCACCAGCAGGCTCACCCCTAGCATGAAACACACAGGCATCAGTCACAAAACAAAGGAATAAAAAACAGGGAGAAACCACCCCTCTATCCCAGCTGGCAAGCACAAGGACAGAAATGAGATAGGGCAGCCCAGAGCGCTCCAGGAGAAACACCTCTAGGTGTTCCTCAGCTGCACTGCTTACGCAGAGGAGCCAGACCACTGCAATAGGAAGCAAAAACACAGGTTGCGTCTTTTTGCAAGGAACTGGCCCTGGGTCAATGGCAAGGCCAACCAGCAAAGTCCCAAGAGACTTTGACCTCCAGCCTGAGAAGCCTGGCTTGGGAAGCCTGGCCTCCCCGGAGCCAGCTTTGGGATAGCAAGGGGCTGCTCATGGCAGACGAGTCTGCTGGGACAAGAACAACTCCTTGATCATTCAGCAGCCAAACATGCCCTACTCCCCAGCCTGGGGCTTACCAGTGCCCGGAATGGTGAGCCTTCCCCCCAAGTAGCCAAATGTGCCACTGGTGCTGTTGCCATGCTCCCGAGGCAAGCTGAGGAGATGCTGGGAGCCCAGGGCTTTGCTCCGCATGTTCGCAAAGTGGCTGTCCCTGATGCTGTCCCCTGGGTAGGTGCCTGTGGTGGGCAGCCCTCCGAGCAGGTCTGTTCCGTCATGGAGCCCTGGCGAGGAGGCGGTGGTGGAGGAGTTGTACACCTTGATCTTAAGGTTGGGGAGGGGGTCAAGCAGGGGGGAGTTGGTCATGGGGATCTTGTCTGAGGAGTCCTGCAGGGCGTACATGGGGCCGCGGTACACCCCGGCGCTGGCCGTCAGGTCTGGCTGCATTGAGGGGTGCAGCAGCTGAGGGTTGTCTGTGGGAGGAGGAAACACAGATAGGATGAAGATGGCAGTGGAAACAAGAGGACATAAAAGCATTGTTTGACTGGAAGAGATGTCTCCATGCCCAGCAAGGGATAGAGTGCACACAGGAGGTACAATGGGTGAACTTCTGGCTGCATCTGTCTGCCTTTCACCACTTGGAAGGGAACTGCTGAGCATCATGACTGAGTGAGAAACACTGAGTATCCTACAGTAAATATTTACCATATTTGCTTTGTAGATGCTTTTCCCTGGCTCCCACCATTGACACCTGACCACCTCCATGGAGTCCTCAGCCTTGAAATACCAGCATATTCCCTTAGAAAATTCAGGCTGGCGTCCGCTGAGGACCTGCCCCCTACTGTGATTTGCAGCACAACTTTCTTTCTACCTGGGCTTGAGCTGGTGAGCAGGACCTGCATGGAATGTAGCTCTTACCATGCCGGGAGGTCTTGAAGTTGACAGGGTGGAAGCCGCCGGTCAGAGCAGCTGATGAGTCTGTGATGTCTGTGTCAAAATCCCGGCATCTCCTTCGGTACACCACCACCCCCACAGCCATGAGGATCACGATGAAGACAAAAATGGCCACCACCAGCCCGGCATACAGGGCCACATCGCCTGTGGCCTCCAGCACTGGAAGAGATTAAAAAAAATGGAGGTGAAAAAAGGAGCACCAGAAAAGCACATCAAGACACACCAGTGCTCCTCAACCCTACCACTAACTCAAGACACAGGCACAAAGGGGAAGATGTGTATTGGGCCTGCCTGGAAAAGCTGTGGCAGGAGGATGAAGGGTGTTTCCTAAGAGCAGTCCAGAAGTCAAGAGTGATGATGTCAAAGAATGAGATGGAGGTGAACCCCTCAAACCTTTGGAGGACACTTTGCCACAGCTCATGCAAACTTTACCGGAGCACCAAGAATCAGAGAACCATTAGGTTTGTGCAGCTCATATTTGTGAAGCTATCAACCCTCATATCCCACACAGAGAAAACCCTGAGGAGTAAATGCAATGCCTATCCAATGCATCTCATATTTATGTACTTGAGCTATGCATCCAACTGGAATGATTGAGTGTCACTGTATCTATATAGACACCTCTCAGCTTTCCCACCTTCCCTTCCCCTGCCACAAGGCGCTTGATGTTTAAATGCCTGGCATAGCTTGAATATATTTGCTCAGAAAGAAGAGGGATGAAGAAGAAAGGCAGAGCATTATAAAGCCTTCAGCACCAGGAGCTGAGCATGCACAACCCATCCTTCTCTCCTTCCTCCCTCCGTGTTTGCTCACATATCTTGGTTTTTATAGTTTTGTGCTGGAGTGAAGCCCTGTCCTAAGGCTGATGATCTCAGACATGTTAGGACTATGCCACTTCTGGGAGGTGTCACCTTGTCCCTGAGTTCATCCATCTGGATGCAAGAAACAGAAACCCTGATGCACACTGGGAGCTCTCCAACTCAAGGAAGGGAGTCCTCATAGTGGGGTGATGATGCCCAGAGTATCTCTGGTGGCATGACACTGTCTGCACGGTGGTGCACCCAAGAACTGCAGGCAGCAAAAGAGTGATGGGAGCAGGGATGCAAAATGGGTCATATTTATAGCTTCAAGCAGAGCATGTGATTTAATATACACAGGAGTTCTGGGGTGGCCTTTAGTTGCTCCCTCTTCCCACCCTGTGCTTCTGTAGCTGCTGAGGAACCCTACCATGGATGCAACAGAATAAAGCCAAAGCAATGCCGCACAAAGAAACAAAATGGCCATGAAATGAGCACTTACGGTGGCTTTTGGGTTCGCTTAGAACTCTCTTATCTGTTAGGAAAAAAAAGTTAGAAAACAAAAGGTGAAGGTGGTGATGGTGTGATGGGGATGAAATGAAACAGAAGGCTGGGAAGGTAGAAGCCACCCCAGGGAGCATGAGGAGCCTCAGCATAGTGGGGAAGAAGTGGAGAGCAGCATCATTCCTGGGGCATGGAGAAAGCCAAGTAGAAGTGCGGTGATGAGGATATGCCCATGCCCAGCCAGCCCCTGGGATGCACGATCCCACTAACACAACTTTGGGCATTTCTGGCCATAGCAACATAAAAGGGGACAGTGGTGTCACACAGCAGCAGGTGGCAGCATCAGCTGCTCATCTTTCAGTGTGCCCACTCAGCTCGGCAGCACCATTATCATCATTACTGAGTTTTTTTGTAGCTGTTGCTGCAGAGCTCCTACCAAGCAGTGACCCAGGTCAGATGTTTTTATGGTGGGGCTGAAAAACCCTCCTATCTTGCCCCCACTAACCACAACCAGCCTTATTTCAGCAGAGACCCCAAACACAGAGCCATTTCAGAAGGCTTGGTGGGACATTTACATCCCACAAAACTCCCCAAACCTTTCTTGCCACCAGGTGAGAACTAAGTTTTGAAGGGGTGAGTGTGGTTAAAAAACTTTGTTAAAGGCACAATTTAAAAACCAGGTGTAAGCAATGCTGCTGCCTGCCCCATCAATTTTGGGGCACAACCAACAACAACATGGCCAAGTGCCAGGGCAACACAGCCCCCCACCATCATCTACAGTGCTGGTCCCTGCCCTCCTGCCCACATACTCACTCTGTAGGCAGAGCCCATCGGTGCAGTTTTTGGAGTCAAGCAGCACTCCGCTGCAGTCCTTGCCACCGTTGCGGGGAGCCGGGGCGGCACACTCGCGGCTGCGCCAGTGGGTGCATTCGGTGCTGCACGCTGACCACTTGCTCCACTCCGTCCATGCACCATCCACTGCAGGCCACAAAACACAGGCACATCAGTAAACCCCTTGGCATGGCTTCGGGGCTCATTCCCCAAAGCCGCGATGTCTCTGTTAGTAGTGAGAAGCCCATCTCAGGGTCTTCACGAGACCTTCAGGGAGCATTATCCCAGCAAACCAAGCCCCACTGCTATCTGAGGCAATTAAGTTGTACCTCTACAAATATCTCCAGATCTTTCAAGACTCAGCAGACTGAAAGATGCTTTGGACTGGTCTCCTGAGCCCCTGTCTCCTTGGGGTGCACCGGGAGCATAAGCGGACTGTGCAACCCTGGGGACAGGCAGTGTGGGCAAGCCAGTTTCTGAACCCACCTTACCTGGGCAGAGGGTGGTGCAGGTGATTTTCTGGAAAGGCTGCCCATCACAGAAGGAGCCGCCGTTCAGCGGCGCGGGGTTGGTGCACGTCCGGGTGCGCTTCTGCCAGCCCCGGCCACAGCGGTTGTTGCAAGGAGACCACTCGGACCAGGTGGACCAGCCACCATTCACTGCAAGAGGAGATGGACAGCGTTAACACATCAACAGAGGCCTAGCCCATTTAAGCAGGGACTGGTGCTAAGTCTAGGGTTCACCAGGTCCTCTGTTCTTACATCTTCCATGACACCCTGGAACACCTCACCCTCATGAAAAGTAAGTCATGAGACTCCTTCTCATGTCACACACCCCATGTACAAGGTGCTCAAGCCTCTTTGGTCCCTTTTCCATTTTACATTTGGCCACAGCAGATCTTTGGTGCTATAGGAAAGTTTAGCCAAATGCAGCTTTCCAGCTGGGTCTAACCCCTACCCACCTTCATACACAAACGAGAAGGCTTGGAAATACCTACACCTCATAAACTCTCCTAACAGCCTGTGCAAGCTAGTAGGGGTCCCTGTTTTGCAGATATTGGATATTAGCTAACTCAATGAAATACCCTGGTGGTGTTTACTCCTACCACTCCCAGAAAGTGCCTGTATTTCCCCTTGGCTTGGGGACATGGCTAGCAACAAAGGTCCTCTCCCCAAGAGCAAGGGCCATTTACCGTAGACGATGACGGCAGCTGTGGTGCTACGGCGTTTGGCTACAATATTCTTGGCCATGCAGGTGTAATTAGCAGTGTCCAAGAGCCGAGCCTGTTTGATGATGAGGTTGTGATCAATAGTGATCAGGAAGTTGGTGTCCTGGGTGGGATCGATGACATCTTCATTCCTCAGCCACTCCACCTAGCAGTGCAAAGGAATGAATGGTTAATGATGGTGATTAAGCCGATTAAGAACTAAACACTCAGCCAGGAAAAGCTCATAATGAATTTCAGTGGAAATGCTCATCCCATGTGCTCACCACCACCAGGGTCTCCAAGAAAGCTATGATGTGACTGCTTAACTAGGCTGTTTGCAAAGGGCATGAGTCAATATCACTGAGCATGGGTGAAGGCATGAGCAAGGAGAAACATCAGGTAGGAGGGGCTGAATTCACAAACCCTGACAGAGAGCAAAACCCCTCAGACCAGCCTATGACCTGCCCCAGAGCCCTCCCCATTCTCATTACCAAGACCACCAATATCCTCAGCACCACAACCACTGATTGGCCAACCTTGCCTCTGACTGTATTGATTTCTCCCCAGAAGCTGGGCCAAACCCAGCCTGACTAGGACGCACTACTGCTGTTTTGGCCAAGGATGGAACATTGTGGCTACCACGAATGCACAGCTGCTGGGGGCTGATATAGCTGTGAGCAAGAAAAGCACCACCACCATGCTAGGGAAGACCATCTGTACTGACTTTCCCAGCCCTTGGCTCTTAACTGCTCCCCTTCAGGCAAGTCATGGGGTGCCTCCTTGTTAGGTCTTCCCTCAAACGGGTTAACACCACATCAGGAAGCATGGGAGAGGTAGGTTGAACAGGTGCTGAGGTTACATATGTTATTAGATGTCAGAATAACAGAGCCACTACCCAAAATAAACAATTTGCTGAATAATGAAAGCTGACGGACTCGGCACGAGGCCATCCATCATGGCAGCAAGCCATCTGCAAGGACATGCCCTGTCTCTCCTTAGTATGGGAGAGGACACCTCACTGGGCATTCCTTCGGGTTGCATAGATGCTCACCTCTGCCTGCGGCACCCCCTCAGGCGGGCGGCACTGCAGCAGGACCTCGTGCTCCAGCGGGACCTCCTTGCCCAGTGGCTCCTGGTCAAAGTTCTTCCGTAGGTCTGGGAGGGAAAGGAAAACCCAGGTATTACCAGCCCACCTCAGAAACCAGGCAACCTGCAAAACCTTTGTGGGGGAACAGAACTGCCTTGGCTCCAGGGGTCCACAAATAGGGAAATCCCTCTGGCATAGCACAGCTACAGCAAAACATGTCCTGGAAGAAAGAATCTGAAGAAGTAACTTTTCCAGTATGAATTCAGGACAGCACATGGTGGTCAAGGACGATGCCTTTCCTCCTTCATGTGTTTGCAGGTTCACACCCCCCTCTTGTCTTCTCCTTTTGGGCTAAATCTCAGCTTAACCACTGTTTCTTCAACCCTCTCATTTCTTCAGTAGCAGGAGCATCACTAGATGGTGCTGCAATGCTCTACTACAGCACCCAGCCCTCTATGGCTGCAGCTCCTGCTTGTGCAGGGCAGCGAAACCTTGGTTCACCTCAACTGCTTGGCTCCCAGAAACACCAAACCCTTGGCTGGGGCTGAACAAACCAGCTTCCTCCATAGCCATCCCTGTACCACCTTACTTCCCCTGTTAAGACTAAGTCCTTCAGCAGCATAGCTGATACACCAGCCACCGCCGTTTTGAACAACATGTTGGATTATTAGCCCTCTAATAGCAAAATCTGTTTACGACTGGGGAAGCCTGACTGTTCTCCTATAGCTTTGCCATCTCATTTGCTAAGAGAGCAAACTCAGCTGGGTAACAGCCTGATTAACTCGCCCTTAATCAGGCTGACACCCACAAATGGCAGCTTAAAGAAGTGACATATGACAGCAGGGACTCCAGAGACACAGAATCGCTGATTCAGGCAAAGTGTGCAAGGTGCTAACTGTTGGTTTATTAACGATAATAAAGCACTGGGAAGAGCTGAGCATGCTGACGGGCAATGCGGTGTTAACCCAGGTAATGCCAGAGCCTCTTACCTAGGCAGATAGGGACAATGCCTTGAGCAAAGCTCAAGCTGGGGTGGGGAGCTAAGACCAGGGCCATCCAGAAAGGATGGGTCATCTCCAACTGATCAAAAAGCACTGCTTTCAACAAGGAGCCAACTTTTGGAGATAGCCAACCCCACTCAACTGCACCCACTGTGTCTTGGGGAAGCCAGGAATGAATGACCTGGCTGCTATTAAAGCTGCCAGAAGCAGCGCACACCTGGCTTGACACATTGCTTTTTCAGCCTGGGATCCAGGGTCACACCTCAGGTTTTGCAAACAATTTCTAAATTGGTGGATTGTGCCCTCTGGAAACCTTTTGGGGCCCCAAAGTGGAAAAGAAGGTGGAAGAAAGACTCATTTAAACTAAATCAGTAGACTGTGAGCCGGAGCAGTGCAGGTAGGTAAATGCAGCTCTTGCAGAGGGACAGGGAGCACTGTTGGGAGCATTGTGTCTGAGCAAGCACTATATACGCTGGGTACTTACATGCTATGCGGACGTATGCCCTGCGGCTCTTTGTCGTGCCTGCAGAGCTCCAGGCCACACACTGGCACCAGTAATCTTCTAAGCCGAAGAGCTCCTCTACCTGCTGCCGGGAGACCTCGATCTGTACCTCCCGCACCAGCATCCCTAGAAGAGGACAGAGGGATGGCATCAACTTGGCAAGAGCACCCAGGAGGAGGTAAAATGAGGCAGCACGCAAGAGGGCTCAGAGGCTAACAGATGCAGAGAGCTGGAGGCATCTCAGAGGCATCTTGGTTTGGCACCTCTGTAAATCAGGGAGGCTGCTCCCTCCCTTTGACTTCGAGCTGAAGCCAGGGCAATGGCTGATGTGGCTTTTCTTTTTGCCCCAGCATGGCTGGGCAGGACCAGAACCTTTTGACCATTTCAAGAGGTATCACCCTCCTCCATCAGTCCTCTCCCCCAGCACTGACATCTCCATCCCTGCCCAGACCCTTTCCCACTCACTGGGGTTTGAAAGATGCCTCCTCTGAGGCTTTGCTGCAGGGAACCATCTTTTGTCAGCTGCCATTTAAACACAAATAGAACAAGACAAATAAAAGATCTTAAGAAATAATCCAGTGATGGTGGCGTTTCACGCCTACTGACTCCAAACAGAGTTACACACCTCCATCAACCCCCAGACGCCTCCGTGAAGTCTGCCAGGACACCCTGGCCATGGCAGCTGCAATGACAAACGTGGCACCACCACGTCCAGGACACAGTCCCCTGGACCGCAGGATGCTGAGGCTTGTCCAAAGCATCGCCAAGGGCAGGAGGGACTCGGGACTTGCTTTTCCTTATTTTAAGCAATACCTGCCCTTTTTTTTTTTTTTGCAGGTTCTATTTATAAAAAGGCCTCAATTTCACAGCAATAGAGAGCTGCTTGCTCCCCAGCTGTGATGCTGTTAGCTCATTCCCAGTGCTGTGAGGAGCGATTACTACCTCTCTGCTGCCTTCCCGCGGAAGAGCTGGCAAACGTGCACCAAGAAAATACAATTTGCCTTGCCACTAAATAAGAGGAGGGGAAGGGGAGGCATTTTGGGCGAAGCAGTTTTGGAAAACTTAGGGTTTTTAGAAGGACCCAGGACAGAGATGGCGCAAAACCATCTTGTCTCTCTGGAAAGCACCGGTGGGGTGGGTTGAGCAGCCCTGGAAAGGTGGGGAGCATCCTGCAAATGCCCTGCTATCTCTGTAACCCCCAAAAGCAAAGATTACCCAATACTATAGACCAAGCTTATGGATCACAGAGTTGACTATTTAGGGGGCTTACAGGCATCCAAACACAGCCGCTCTTACTGACTGTCCCTTCTCACCCAGCTGAATTATCTGACTTGGCCTATTTTAGCTTTCTTCCACATGAAACGCTTTGGATCAGACGCAGTCAGAGCATTACTAAGCCCAGCTCATTCAAGACACGTCATCTTAAAAGTTGCTTTTTTTTTTTTGCTTTTTTTTTTCTTAAGGTGCCTTTTTCCAAGCTTTTAACCAAGGACAGTTAAAAAGCCACGAACGTTGAATTGTGTTAACCCGTCACTTTGTGGCCAGCTCTCCCCCATGCCCTTTGTGGCAGCTTTCCCTACAAACAGCAGGCATTGCAAACAGAGATGTTTTTAGCACAGTAAGCCATTGTGGTTCTGGCTCCTTTTTTCTTAGGGCAGCTGCTGGGCAGATATGCTCACGCTGGCAGAGTTTACTTGCACAGCATCACCTCCGCACTGTCAGTTTGTTCACTGATAGCAGCAATATCATCTTTGAAGCCTGGGTGAAGAAGGTGTGCAATGTTTCCTCCCCAGATTGATGGCACACATTCTGCGTCTGCAGACTGGGATCTGAGAGGGAGGCGTTGGCCCAAAGCAAATGAGTCCCCCACTAAAACAGGGTAAGCTCCTGCTGCAGACTTTCTGCTCCCTTACTGCTCTGTTTTCTCCAGCCTATTTTACTCAAGAGTTGCGTGAAGCAGGTTATTCAGAAAGGGGTATTCATTCAAGGGGTGGAGCAAATGGTGGGGCCAGAAATACAGTGCTTTTCCACATCACTAAACCATGAAACTTCCTGCTACAGGATTCTGGGATGATCCAGAGGAGAAATGAATCCTAACAGCATTTAGACAAATCAACAGAAGGGAATCCATCCAGGGCTGGACCACACTGCTAAGATATTGTCACCAGACCAGAGAGTCCCTTAATCATAGACATTAGAAAGCTGGGGGATAACAGAGCAGGGTCCACCACTCCCTCCTTGTCCTGGTTCAGTGCTCTTCCTCTAAGCATCCACACCATGGCCACACGCAGGGTGTGCAAACTTCTGGCTCAACCCACTGTGGCCACATGTTATAAATAAATTAATAACCCCTCAGTGAAGGCTGCCCAGTCACTAATCTGCACTGGCTTTGCCCTAGAGCAGCGAGGGTTTCAAATCTGGCCTCCCCAAGAACTGGGAGGTGGAGATGGACTCCGAAACAGTGCTTCCAGTGCTCCCAACAGTCTCTGTAGAAGCAAGGGGAAAGACTTCCCATGCATGTTTGACCATCCTTCAGACAGAGATCTTCTGGAGGAAAAACACTCCAGGAACAGATGAAGCAACGTTAGGAAGAAAGACTCAAAAAGCCACAGAGAAAAGAAACGATCTTCCCTTTTCCAGAGCAGGTTCAGAGAAGCACCAAAGCAAAGACTGGCTCACAGACAGCACTGGATGAAGAGCTGAGGAGGTGCCAGGGAAGGGCAAGACTGTGTTAAAAAATCAAAGGAACGAGAGGAGATTCTATAAAAATACTTGTGCTCCAGGCTGACAAAATCTCTCCTAAGCTCAGCCTGCCTTCTGTGGCCAACACCACAGCAGTTCAAAAGGCTATGTTGGTTTAAAGCCCTCTAGAGATGAGGGATGCTGCATGTTCAATGATTTGCAGAGAAATGTGACTGTTTTCTTCCTCTTCCTGATCTGACTACAGGTACCAAAACTGATGCAGACAAGACAAGATCTGAGCTAAAGCATCCCAATTTTAGCAGATCTGCTTTAGTACATGATATATGTAATCCCACATCTTGTTCACATGCCGAGACATTTCAAAGCATGGGGCAGGAAGATCTGTGGAGCCCAATCTCCTGCAATAAGAAACCTCTTAGAATGCCTAAACCACATTCTCACCCCTCCAGTTTCAGACAGCCAGCAGCTGACTTGTCCTCTGAGGCAGGGAAGAGCTCATCTGCCATTAAAAAGTATTTCAAATCCTACCTGAAAATGTTCTCATTACCCATTAAAGGTCTAATCCCTTTATGAACTTGAGTGAGCTGCCAGCCTTCACTGCCCCATTGTGGCAATGACTCCTACATGTTGATTAGGCATTTTGTAGCAAAGTGTTTCCTTTTTTTTATCCATTTTAGACGTGCTTCTTTCAAATTGCATTTAACAACCCCATGTCCTGCAAACGGTAAGTGTGCAAGCACACAGGCTGACTTCCCCAAGCTTCTATGAGGTACGGTGACCCATACCATCATCATGCCTTCATCAATGGCTGGGAAAGGGGCAGCTCCTCTACTAAAGTTCACTGATGATATAGAAAGAGAGACAAGTTGTGCACAGACCAAGGAAGTGGGAAACATACAAAAGCGACCTCATGAGATTGCAATCACCTGGGGAATGATAAACATGAATCACAGACCTATTGGTCTCCTTGAAGGATAAACATCTACAGCATGGATGTGCAAGACAGAAAAGGGCAGAAGTGCCTGGAAAGAAGAGAGGGGAAGGACAGACAGGGGGATGCCAGGGTGGGTTTGCTTACCAGTGGCTTCGTCCAGGCTCTCCTTGGTGACGTGGTCGTTCTGGTTGACCCACTCTCCATTGCACTTGAAGTAGATCTGGGTGGCAGGGTTGGCTCGGCAGACAAGCTCCACCGGCTTGTTCTTCACGATGTAGGCATCCTGCGGCTCCAGCAGAAAGTAAGGCAGGGTCTCTGCTGGGGGCGAGGGGAAGGAGTCGGGCAGCACATCGCTGTACTCCAGCCCTGTCAGGAGAGCAAGAGGGTCAGGAGGTGCCCTTAGTCCCACCCCAGCAGGGACTCAACTCCTGCCTATGTCACTTCTTCCCTCCCAGCTCCGCCCTGTGTGCAGTGGTGTCACCAACAGCCCTTGCTGAGGATGCTCAGAAAAGCAAAAGAGGGCTGGAGTCTCCCAGAAAAAGAAAAAAGCAATTCTCTGCTAGCTAGACCTGCTGCTGCTGTGGAGTGCATCCTGGTTTTGCCTGGGTACCAGCCCCTCCATCCATACCCCAAGACCAGGCTGACTCCAAAGCCTGGGTGATCTGACTAAAGGACACCACAAGGTATAAAGGAAAATAAACCCAAGTCCAGGGAAGGTGACGAGGACATAAAGAGGCTCCAGAAGGGCTGGTGTCCCCCTTCCCAAGCCTCCCTCCCAAGGCCCTGGGGAACGCAAGGGCATGCTCCAAGTAAAATGCTGGTAGGGCTTGTGCTGGGAGCGCAGACCCCAACCCCAGCATAAATCTCGCACATCCCACTCTTTGGTGGAATTGTGTGTGGGATCTCAGCCCCCTGCCAACGCTTGAATCTCAGCATCACACAATGCAAGGGGCACCAGCAGCCCCTGCCAAAACAGACCCCACGGACCAGCTATCTGCCTATCACAGGTAAGCTATTGCTTCAGCCCAGCCACCTCCAGAGAAATGCTATCACCCAAAATGCAATCGGGATTCATAAAATCCCACCCAAAAAAAAACAGACTGGGTCATTGCCCTGGTCATCTCCATCTTCCTGCTTGTTTGCTTTCAAAAACAATCTAAATGCAAAAATTACTAGAAAAAGAGGTCGTGTCTGCTCAGGTCAGGCCAAGGAAAGCCCTGAAAAGGGGCAAGCAGCTCAGTGCTTACCCAGGGATGTAATTCCTGAGGATTGGGAGCCTCAAGGTGACTCACACCCCTAGCACTGGCTTGGAAAGATGCTGTGACCAACACTGAGGATCATCTGCAGCATCCAGCATAGGAATGTTTCCTGTTTCCAAACAATTTGCCCATTAAGATCAAACCCAAGTATCACAGGACTGATAAAAAGCCACATACATGCACTGGGATGCTACTCCTTAACCTGTTGTTCCTGGGCATCTCGCTAGCAGTCAGGTCACATCACGAGGCTTTTCTTTACACCTAGTAGTGTTATGAGCTTTTCCACCTCCTCTCTTCCCCGAGTGACAGCTGTGATCCTCAATTCCAGGCACTGCAGTGTGCAGGAAAACAGCAAATATCCCCAGCCCCATGATAACATCTCCAGAGCTGGCAAGGAATAAAGAAGCCCACTCCCTTCGTCACCCTTGGCAAGAGCAGTGCTGCACGGTGAAAATCAGAATCCCAAGATGCAAGGAGAAGCAGCAAAAAAATAATCAGATGCATCAAGAAAAGAAGATGACCAAGCTGCCTCCCGAGCAAAAATCAGTGAGGGAAAAAAACACACGAGGTCACTCGTTTAAAATCCATTTAGGAAAATTGACTTTCCATTTCCATTTAACACAGCACTAAGGGAGAGCGGTAGGACATTTGTCATAATCCATTAACCACTCTTTTGGAAACAATGAATTAAACTCTGGGCTAATTTCTCTCTCTCTGGCTGTCTCTCCACCACCTCTCCACTGCCGGCCATTTTCTCCCCTATCTCATTTGCAGACCTGTAATTTTCCCAGCACTCCACCGCAGGCAGGGGGATGGGGGTATGAGGAGGTGCCAGCCCCCACCATAAATGGTCCCACACTTCTATGCCCACATCAAGCCACCGGTCCTGCTCCCCTCTTCTGCTAAGCAGCCTCTCACCCGTATCAGTGTGACAAACATCACTTACTCTTTCTTTTTTCATTTACTATTCAATTTTGCACCCAGTGAGTTGTTTTGTTGGGTTTTTTTTGGGGGTTGTTTTTTTAAAAACCGCTTCGATGCCACAAATCTAAATTCCCTGGCAAAGGGGGCTGGCAGGAGACAATCCAGCTGGCATCGGAGGCAGCCAACAAAACTTCACTCATGCACTCATCTGAAAACCTCTCTGAAGTGATGCTCTTTGCATCCCTGCAGCACACAGGCTGCAAAGTTGGACCTGAGCTCTGCTGCTGGGAAAGGGCACAGGTAACACGTGCTGTAAAGCATCCTTAGAAAACCTGTGATGCCTGTGGGGCTTGCTTGCCACCCATCCCCAGGGCAGGGTTGGCTCCTGGGCTCTGTTTTACAACTGTAAAGGCGGGTGGGTTTATGAAGCAGGCTTGCTATAAGGAATGTAAACACTTGAAGACCATTAGTCTCTTGGCAGAGCAATCACCCCCAACTCCCAGCCCTGCCCCAGGAGAGGACCAGCCTCCTGTAGGCACTGCTGAGGGCAGTGGCAGAGATGATAACCACTCCAATATATAGAATCATAGAATCATAGAATTGTTAGGGTTGGAAAGGACCTTAAGATCATCTAGTTCCAACAACCCTGCTGTGCGCAGGGACACCTTACACTAAATCATATCACCCAAGGCCTCGTCCAACCTGGTCTTGAACACCACCAGGGATGGAGCATTCACAACCTCCCTGGGCAACCCATTCCAGTGCCTCACCACCCTAACAGGAAAGAATTTCCTTCTTATATCCAACCTAAACTTCCCCTGTTTAAGTTTTAACCCATTACCCCTTGTCCTGTCACTACAGTCCCTAATGAAGAGTCCCTCCCCAGCATCCCTGTAGGCCCCCTTCAGATACTGGAAGGCTGCTATGAGGTCTCCACGCAGCCTTCTCTTCTCCAGCCTGAACAGACCCAACTTCCTCAGCCTGTCTTCATACAGGAGGTGCTCCAGTCCCCTGATCATCCTCGTGGCCCTTCTCTGGACTTGTTCCAACAGTTCCATGTCCTTTTTATGTTGAGGACACCAGAACTGCACACAATACTCCAGGTGAGGTCTCACAAGAGCAGAGTAGAGGGGCAGGATCACCTGCTGGTCACGCTCCTTTTGATGCAGCCCAGGATACGGTTGGCTTTCTGGGCTGCAAGCGCACACTGAAGCTGGCTCATGTTCATTTTCTCATCAACCAACACCCCCAAGTCCTTCTCTGCAGGGCTGCTCTGAATCTCTTCTCTGCCCAACCTGTAGCTGTGCCTGGGATTGCTCCGACCCAGGTGTAGGACCTCGCACTTGTCACGGTTAAACCTCATGAGGTTGGCATCAGCCCACCTCACAAGTGTGTCAAGGTCCCTCTGGATGGCATTCCTTCCCTCCAGGGTATCAACCGAACCACACAGCTTGGTGTCATTGGCAAACTTGCTGAGGGCGCACTCAATCCCACTGTCCATGTCAGCGACAAAGATGTTAAACAAGACCGGTCCCAACACCGATCCCTGAGGGACACCACTCGTTACTGGTCTCCAGCCGGACATTGAGCCATTGACCACAACTCTGTGTGTGGCCATCCAGCCAGTTCTTTATCCACCGAGTGGTCCATCCATCAAATTGATGTTGCTCCAATCTAGAGACAAGGATGTCGTGTGGGACAGTGTATAGTATACTATCTTTGGCTGTGATGTGGGCCTGAGGTTCCCCATTAAGTTTTATTTCTGTATCTATGCCAGTAGGTTTTTATTTCTTCTCTTTATTCCTTCCTATTTTGTTGTTTTCTCCCCACGCCAGGTGCAATACCCCAGGATGCAGGCAAGGAGACCCAATGTCACTGAAAAAAACAATTTTCAGAAGGACCTTCCCCTATGGGGGTGACATCCTGAAGCGCATGTGTCTCCCCTGAGCCAAAACCGCAGGCAAGGTGAGGTCTTCCTCCAGCAGCCAACACTAAAGATACATTTCTCCCACCCCACTGACACTTCGGTGATGCTAAACAAGACTTTAGGTCATCCAAGAAGATCTTGGAGCTGGGAGGGGATGAGTCACGGCCTGGTGAAAATCACAGTTTCATGACTCACCATCATCATCTGCAGCAGAATGGGTGATGTTCTGGGCTGTGGTGGGAGCAACCTTGGTCCCCCAGCACACTGGTGGTGTTTGGAGCTGGTGAAATATCACCAGTGGTACTGCCAACCCCGGCAGCGATGGGTTCCATCCAACCCTCTGCCTTGACAGGGGGTCTTCCCAAATCCACGATGGCAGTCTCAAGCTCAACACTTTGGGCTTCTTCTCCAAAGGGGCACAGTGACTTTGGGGATGAGGGTGGTGGAATAGGATGATCTACCTAGCCCTGGCCAGATCCAGCATCTGCTTTTGGTGGCTATAAAAACCTGTTCGGATTAAGTTTTGAACCAAAAAAAAACCCCAAACCTTTAAAGCTAGGAGCATCCTGGCTGCTGGGAAAATTTAAATCCTGCAAACTCACAACAGCTGAGAGATCTTTTATTTCTGGCCAAGAGAGATCTGAGGCCAAAAAAGCAGCTCTAACATGAGACAGGGAAATGGTATTTTTTCTGTGGCAGGCTTGTAACTACGACCATGCCCCAGAGCCCCATCCCCGCAGCTCCCCCAGGCTCCTGCTTGCTTATGAATGGGAGCAAAGCAAGCGGGAGGCTGATTTCTCAATCCAGAAAACAGCCTTACGTGGCTGAAAAAAAGCATTTGCAGCTGGGCAGGGTGTTTGGTTCCAGCACAATACAGTTGCTGGTATTTAAGCACACTGGGGAAGAATTAAGGCAGAGAAACAACAGGGACTTTGGATGAAAAAAGGGAGGAGACCCATGCTGGGCATGTTTATCATAAGCCATCAACCCAGTCTTTCATCCGCCTTCCCAGTGCCTGGCCACCCGCTGCATGGGAAACATCTCACTCTGCTAATGCTCCAGGGGGACCCCCAAAGAAACTCCACATACAGCCGGCAGAGGGAAAGCAGACTGCTCACACCGTGTGGAGGAACGGCTGCTGCTCCCGCTACCCTGACTATCCAGCAAAAACTGCAAAATAAAGAACACAAAAGCACCTTCCCAGTGGTGCAGCACCATCAGCTCCATCTGGCTACTTCTGCTTTGCCCAATACTGC